TGATTTTCTGAATTGTTTTCACAGATTTGAATGCTTGTTTAAAAATTCATATCTTGAGCTAGGAGTGTCTAATTTTGGTGAACCAATTTTGTTAGTTTCATCTGGAAGTGTAGCATTTGATAAAAATATGAGATGCATTGCTTCTGATATTTTTTAGGAGAATAAAATGTAGCTAGATAAATGCTTTTAAAATGGTTTCTATCTTGTTAAATGTATAACTTGAGTTAGAAAGGTGATAAAATCATGATTCCAATTTTACTGGTCTTGTGTTGACATTCTCTAGCTACGAAAAATACTAACCTTGCAGTGGTCATACTTTGGATATGGTGTTCATAATGAATCCTAATTAATTGCTAGTTTCTAGTGAAATTAATTGGGGTAAAATATATAACATATGATCATGTAAATTTTTACACAGTATTATTATGCTTGAGGAATGTAAGAAAAATATTAAATCTGTTGTTCGACACTTTTCACTATGCTAAATTATTTTTGCTAAAATCAGCCTATGTAACTTATCATTTTGTAGAGTTAGTTATACTTATCTAAATGACATGAAATTTATACAGTAGACTATTAAAATCAATTGTACACTACTGTAATTTTATCAAAATTTATTAAGCACCGAATTATTTATCCTTTAAATCACCCTATTATTTAAGGAAAATAATAAAATAGATATAAATAAGTTAGTTATGTTTGACCATGATGTTTTCTATGGTGCGTGAGATGCATATGATCTATTGGTATTATTAGTTAGACTTAAAAGAAATTGGTTGTATGCAACTAGTTATTTATTATTTTATAATTCAACTAGATGGCCGTATATATAGTTTTAGTTGAGTTGATAATTTCATGTTGATAATGGTCTTTTCTGTAAAACTTGTTAATAAAAAAGTTGTAGATAACTTACTTATCTACCTTGTGTTAAATTTTCATAGTCATAGACCTTATGGTTTAAGAATTATGGTTGTTAGAAGTCTGCTATCAGAAATGCTTGCTCTCTGGACATATTTGAATGATTGAATTGTTTGACCTAGATAACTACTAAATCACATTAAGATGATTAAAAAGAAAGTTGTAGGCAATTTTATAAGCTTTTCAGAATGTCCACAACCATATTATTTTGAAGTGTATAACTCCAGTTATGGTCAAAATAAGTGGCTGCTGTTTTGTGGTCCACAAAATGATTTACATAAGTGTTTGTTTAGTTATTAGAGAAAAGATAGACACCTACTCAGTAAAATATGATGCGCTTGTTATTAATTTAATACCAGGTTGTTGAAAACATTTATGATGATGCATTCATCACGTCATATTATATTATACCTGTCATCGTATATGCATTCGTGATATCTTATTTCATGCTCATACATATAGGATCGTCCGAAAAGATAACGCTGTTGGAGTTCAACGAAGAAGAGGAGGATCAGTAGGAGACACCTCAAGCCACAGCTCCAGAAGAAGAGGAGCAGACTCCCAAAGATCTCCCTGAGTGCCTGGATCACCGGCTAATCTCTTTCCTCAAAGACAAGCCCCGGAGCATTCTAAGTCTCCCATGTTTTACAAAAAATATTACTTGAGTCATTTATAGTTGATGCATTATGTTATAAGAGTTGATTGAAACACTTGATGCATAGAACTACCTTGTCTAGTTACATATACCTTTAACCCTGTGTAGGTCCAGGATCGAATATATGCTTAGTCATGCTTAGACCGGTAGAAGTCAGGTAATTTCCTGTCACCTGCGAGATATAGGTGGTTACCGAAGCACGGTTGACTATATTTGCTATCGTGGAAAAGAATCATGGGTAATGTAAATGGAGGCCGGACGGAATCTATGTGTAGGTGGACTCATGTGATTCCGTCTGCGCCGATTAAGGACCGTATCGTTGTTGGCGCTTCTGACAAGATTGAACACATGCCTCTCACTTAGCTGGTCGGATAACTCGTTTCGATTGCGAAGCAGAGTAGCTCAACTTAGGTCGGGCTCCGCTCTGTTAGAGTGCGCACTCTGGATGGTAGTAAGGATATACGGGGAGCCAGCCATGAGCCCAAGGGCAGGGTAGTCCTGATCGTCTTGGCAGCTGGTTGTCCCTGATTGTGCGGCGCTGGGTGAACCCGCGAAATGTGTATCTGAATTGTACCAAATGTGACCTAAGGTGACTGTTGATCTGGTTTGCCTAGGTTTGTGTTAGGAATAAATCCTTAGCTGGTTAAAATCGATTCGAACTGCCATCTCTCCCAGACAGTGAGAAACTTGGCTAGCCCCAACATCGTAGTAATTGTGTTATGGAATGTAATGGTTCAAATGAACATGGAATTACTACACCGCCTATGGTTACTATTGTATACTATTAAATGATATACCACATGTTTGACACATGTTAGTTGCTAATTTAGAGATAAATAGCTATAATTAATTTGATGACCAAATTATAATTATGCAACTGAATTAGTCGCTTTTTATGTAAAATATTATCGAGCTATCTCCACTTATAAAGCCTTGCATAATCCTTGGAGTCGTCTTATTTTTGGTTTATAACGGGTAAGTCTAGCTGAGTATATTCTCGTACTTAGGGTTTTATTCTCATTGTTGCAGATGGTATAATTTATCACGGCTATTACAAGAACTGCTTCTATCCCGCCGTGGGTGATGAGTGAGCCCTGGCAGGCATCGATTATTAATCCTCCTTACATGCTTTTGTGGGAATGTGATCATGAGTTGGCATTGTATCTGAACTATGATAGCAAAAAGTTAGCTTCAAACTTTAATTTGCTTCTGCTACTATTTACCGAACTTGGTTTATAATAACCTTAATTTGTACTCTGATGAATGAACTGTATTTGTGAACTTTATGTAACATGTGATATGTATGTTGAATCATGTACGATCTTGGTTGTATATTGATGGTTAATCGAGACCCATCGTGGTACTCGATAGACTACCGGATTTATATGGGACTCAAGTATGATCGGTTCTGCTGAAAGGATACTAGCTAATCGATTGGTGGATAGGTATGAATGATGATATTGTGTCCATCTTTTTTAGGACAATAAGCCCTCTTTGCTGCTGTAATCTTGTGCTCTTATAAATTTATTCAGGTGTTCTCTCCTCCGATTCTGCATGATAGTGATGATACTAGCTAATCAGATTGAGTGGATAGGTATGAATGATGATATTGTGTCCATCTTTTTTTAGACAATAAGCCCTACTGCTTTGTTGTGAATCCTACTACTCTACTGTAAACTTATTATTCAGGTGTTCTCTCCTCCAGTGGAGCAAATTCCCAAGCAACTCGGCATGTTTGGAGAATTCAAGGTGATTATGGGTCATTATCTGTCTTTGCTTATTTGTGGTGATTATGGATCATTATCTACCTTCGCTTTTTAGATTTTTTTCCTTTTAAATCAAATAATTTAAACTAGCTTGCTCCATCACCAAAAACAACAGATATTGAAGATCACCATCCTAAATGCAAATGGGTGCACGAAGCTTTTGTTGCATCATCTATTTTAGAACCTTCATGTGTTCCTCTCAGGTTTTGAACTGCCTAGACTGATACATTTAAACTTTTGAGGCTTCATGTGCATAGCTATGAGGGTTTTAAATTAACAAAGTATCTGAACTCTCGTACACTAGCTATGCAAAAATATTTGTGAATGTGAATATATTAATGCAATTCGTACATTTAAATTAACAAATTGTTAGTTAGATTCAATAAGATTTGACTCTTTTAAACCCTAAAGTACGCTTTTATAAGGGTTTGTTCAGAACGTAGAAAAAAATTCTATTCTTACATCTTGTAAAATTGAACTGTGATTCATATGAATTTTTACATGATTTCTGCGTTTGGAATGGACCCTAAAAGGGAAACGAAGAGAGTATACCTCGTTCTCGTTCTATACTGGTATCGATGCTTATTTGGTTACATGTTTTGTTGGCTCCTCGCCTGGATGTCGTCTTTGTCTTGTGGATGCAAAAAGAGATTTGAGCTAATGTTCTATAGGTTGTTTCAGTTTTATTCCAATTCAAACTTTTAAATTTTGATTATGTTTTTTTAAATACATTCCATGAAGAATATGCTGTGGGTGTTGGTTATTTTTTAAATACTTAAAATTACAGAAATTTGACTTAGAACGAAATCAAATTAAACTATAATCTAGAAACAAGAAACTATATAATATTTGGGCTTTTTCTAGAGACAAGCATATACTTGGTTAACGACTTTTTAATCTCTTCTCTACACCTAAAAAAGTATAACGTCATCATCTACCCGGTGATACCAAATCTTAATCTCTGCTCCAGAGTCTGCGTCGAATACGAATAAAACTCCATTCGGAGCTCAGGCATCCGCATCATACCCTGTTCCGATATGAAGAATAATTCCACGTGTCCACAACCAATACAAAGTCTTCAGCATGTCGGCGTCTGATTACTGAGTTTCAATTAAAAATATTATGACCCCGATATAACACTCGGGCATGTATATAATGTTTTAAAGAAAACCTAGGCTTCCGTGAAAAAGTGTGGAAGGAAGAGAAGGGAGTCACTTTCTCCACGTGTGTGGTGGATGAGAGACACAGACAGGAGAGAACGAGAGGAAAAGGAAAACTGAAACGACTCCTCATGCTGTCATGCAAGAGGCTACGAGCCCCAAACGGATTCTGAAGAGTTTTTTTTCTTTTCTTTTTATTTTTTACAAACATTCTGAAGAGTAAAGGAACCCACCTATCGGCCCAACTTCAACTCGGCCCGCTTACACCGTGCTCGGCCTGCCCATACCCATCCCCAACCCTAAACCCAGACGCTCACCCCCATCGCAACCGTTGGATCCTCGTCCGACGCCCAAATGCCAGCCCCGTCGTCATATATAAATCCTTGCTCCGCCTCCTACGCCGCTCCACCAAACCCTAGCCCCAGAGCAGCCGCATCCACATCCACACTACCTGCCTCTCTCTCGTTCCGTGGCGGCGGCGGCGGCGGCGGCAGCAGCAGGATGGCGGCATCTACGGCGAGGACGGTGAAGGATGTCAACCCCCACGAGTTCGTCAAGGCCTACTCCGCCCACCTCAAGCGCTCCGGCAAGGTAACAGTGCCCGTCTCGCCCACTGTTGCTACCCAGACCATCTCGAAACAAATTCACCGTTTATGTTGTGTGCCTTCTGGACATTTGATTGGTAGGTTGGAGTGTGATTTGCTCACATAACTACTAATTCGGATCTGTTAGGCATAAGCAATGCCGTTCTTCTGAGTCTTAGGCCTCCGTGGTAGCTTTTCTTATTCAAGTCTAGATCACCTGTGCATAAAATCCTGTTTCTAAAGTGTTTTTTATTGTCCATATGCGTGGGTTTTAGGCAAATTTTAACTGTATATGCTGAAAATTCCTTGAGCACACTCATCTATGCAGGCCCTATACGAGTTGTGATTTATTTTGTTTTCTGTTGTTATCTGTCAAGACAGTGGTTAGCCTTGGGTGTGGTGTGAACCATTGCTCTGATTCAGGAAGTTGAACACTGATTCCATTTCTCTCATGCTGAATAGTAGGCTGCTTACTATATTTGTCTCAAGTGCTGCTATTGTCGAGCTTTCTTTTTTATTAGGCTATTAATTCAAATTTGTAGTTAAAGCTTTTGTTGCTTCAAGAAACAAGTCTGTTGTATTGGCAAGCAAATAGTCTAGAGTTGAGGTTGGGAAAATGTTTCCTTCATTTCATCGGTTTTCGGTATCGATAATGACTATATTCCTTTCTTGGTATAGATAATTACTATATTCCTATTTTGTTATGTGTAATTCCTTATAAGTATCCTCTGTCTTCTGTTAGATGGAGCTCCCTGAGTGGGTTGACATTGTGAAGACTGCGAGGTTCAAGGAGCTCCCTCCTTATGACCCTGACTGGTACTACACCAGGGCTGGTAAGGGATCTTGTTTGTTTGCTAAAATCATTTACTAGTATAAACTTCGATGTCCGGATTTTGCACTCATCAGATTTTTAATTTTCTTCAACTCCAGCATCCATTGCAAGGAAGATCTACCTGAGGCAAGGCATTGGTGTGGGTGGCTTCCAGAAGATTTACGGTGGCCGCCAGAGGAATGGCTCCCGCCCACCACACTTCTGCAAGAGCAGCGGTGCCATTTCACGCAACATCCTGCAGCAGCTGCAGAAGATGGGCATCATTGATGTCGATCCCAAGGGGTATTTGAACTGCTATACCCCCTTCTCTTACTAACGACTTTTTCTGGCTGTGGAAGTTTGCTTATTGGTCGTTGTGTTGCAGTGGAAGGCTCATCACCTCCCAAGGAAGGCGTGATCTGGACCAAGTGGCTGGAAGGGTTGCTGTTGAAGCTTGAGCAGTCTATCTTCGGTTTCAATGATGTCATGTTTGATGGTTGAGATGGCTACACTTTATTTGCACTTTGGATTAGGATTTTTGAGTTAAGAGAACTTTTAAGGTTTAATGCATCTAGCTATGGCGCCACACTATATTTTCCCTGAGTACCTAAATACCTAATGCAGTATCAAAAGTCATTCTGGAACCAAAGAAATATGTTTGCGAAGTGTCTGAGCTGATATCCATGACGTGCCTTCATTTTGTTACAGATCTTTGTGGTATAGCATTGAATATATTAAGCTCTATACGTATTCCTATTTCTTCTCAGCTGCCTAAAAAAGAGGCCAGTCTTACATTTCATTCATGCCATTATAGAAAACTTAAAATTCCTCCTGGCGTCCCCTTGCCTTCAGCAAGCTCTCAGTTCATGTATTGACCATCCTAACTTCATTGGCGTGCTATAAAACGCCTCTGAAGTTGAAGTTACTCTTGACTAAGGTCTCCTTAATAATTCCCGACGTTTGCGCATTTGCAGATTGGCCAATTGTTCCCAATCATCTTGCTTCCACTTTTCCAGTCCTATATGTCTTAGTTACGAAAGAGCCTAAAGTCTCGTTCGGCTTATCCAGAAACCAGCTTGTTCGGGTTGTTTTTTCAGCTGGAACCGTGTTTTTCTCTCACAACAATTCAGCCAGAACAGTGTTTTCAGTCAGTTTCAACCAAGTTTCAGCAAGCCGAACGGGGACTAAGAGTTGCTCTGGGATGGGCATGGTTAATGTCATGTCTGTATATTTTGTGTTGCGATCTGTCTGCTTCGGATGCAGTCACTCTCAGCATTATTATTACAATAGGAGACATGCTCATGACTCTGTTCAACATTATGTTGCATCCATTTGCCGAGAACTTATCGAACATGGTGAGATTGTGATCAGTTCAGCAAAACCATGTTTTTAGCTCATAACTGAAAGTACTTCTGAGAACATGAACAACTGTTCGTTAAACCAGCGACATTTTGGGCCAGGTAAAAATTAGCCCTAGCTCATCTTAACAAGGGGTTAATAGATGGACTAAATTTTTAGCCAAGTCTAGTTGTTACCCCAGCTATTCTGAACTAATTTTTTCGTTCTCTCTCACATCAATTTTTAAAAAAACTGGAGCCTTAAATGATCTAAACAAGCACTTTAGCTCAGCAAAACCATGTTTTTAGCTCGTCGCCGGGCAAAATTCTGAACGACCAAAGTAAACCGTGTCCTGGCAAATGCATCGAAAATAGCAGGAACGGAGTGTTCCCGTAGTAATATTAGAACAAAGTATCATTCAGAACTAATTTTTAGTTCTAGCCCCATAAAAAAACATACTTTTCAGCTTTATTTTTTTAGCAAAACCATGTTTTTTAGCTCTCACAACAAATTAATTCTGAACGACCAAAGTCAACGGCGCCATATGACCTACGGGCATTACACTAGTCACTGTTAGTTCTTCCGCTCTTTTTTGTCGTGTGGGCCTCCACTGTATAGTTCACTTTCTTACACACGTCATTCTAAAATGACTTGGTAAATGTGAAATGACAGGATACACAACCCATGTCAGATGTGATTGTGGACGAATGTAAACTAAATGGTGTTAGGTCCAGTCTAGTTCCAGAAAATTTTGCCAAATTTTTCATATTTTTTCTTCCGCTCTATTTGGACGTGTGGGGTATTAAATATATATAAAAAATAAAACTAATTCATTCTTTAAATGATTTGGTAAATGTGACCTTTTAAGGCTGTATTAGACTATGATTGACACTATTATCCCATGTCAGATGTGATTGTGGACATTTGCAAAAATTTTCGCCATAACCCTTAGTATGCCATTTGACCTTTGAGTAAAAGACAGTTTACTATTATTTTCACCTATACACACCGCATAGAGACACAATCCACGACAGCAACGGTACTCTGTTTAGGAAAGCTAGATTATTATTATTACTTAAAAGGAAGTGAAACAAATAACGGCACGCAATATCTTAAGAAATATGGTTCTACGATCAATGTTAATGTTAATGGACGACCAGCATTTTAACTTAGGTGCTGTTTGGTTCAGCGGAAGGTAAGGGAATGACAATGGAATTGTTTCACGTCGCTACCTATTGCAGAGTAATGAATAATGTAACTTGTTTGGTTGCTGCTTTTGCTGGCGTCATGGAGTTACGCGGAGGGGAAGTCGCGTGCAGGAATCGGATGACGCCGATGGAGGAGCGGTAATGCAATTGCGAAAGGCTGTATCTAATTAGAGCATCTCCAAGAATTTCCTATCTCAACTTGGTATCCATATAATTTTGACAAAACAAGAAAAAATAACCTCCAACAGTTTGACAAAATAACTTGACATCAATAGCAACTTGACAAATCTTCCCTCCGTATCCATATACCGTGCATACCACATCCGGGGCTCTTGGTTTCACGTGCTCTGTGTTTCAGAGAAGTCTTCGTTTTAGCTCCGCTCATTTTAACGGATTTTTTTGAGTCAAAATGTCAAACTCTTGGAGATGGATTATTATTTTCTTCATATATTTTTCCCCAGGCAAATGTAAAATTTACCCATCGAAATTGATGGTATGCATGCGGAAAAAAATTCAATGGATCCGGTATCCACCGTGCATACCACCACTCAAATGGTGACACGTGTGCGTGTGTTTCATGAAGTGCTTTTCCGCTCATTTTGAGTCATGACGGTTGGTGGACTTGGTGCTCGTCTCCTTCTCCGCTTCACCAGGCGAATGTAGGATCTACCCATCGAGTGGTGGTACGCATTCAGTTTGGGTGAATTTTTTTCCATTTACGTGGGATTGGACTCCGGCCCACCTCAACCAAACGAGAAGCAAAGCAACGCAAATTGATTGCAGCGTGAATGGATAATAGGCCATAAAGCTCCAACCAAACAGCACCTTAATACCTAGTTGTTGCTACAAGAGAACATGATTGCTCTCATCTCCTACTTAAATAATAAATATACTTACGATTACAGATTTCCTGATAGAATAAGCAAAGATGGGGATTAAACTGACTCGTCGGGGGTGAAAATGTTTCAGCTAATCTCATGCCCATGGGGTCTTCACTCGGAGAAGTGGTGGACACAGGAACTGATTGCCATCACCATTGTAAAGATGCTTGGGCACTCTGCGTCACAGGCAGAACACTGTGTTCATAACTGTGTAAGTTATTAATAATCTTAGCAAACTCAGCATCACGGTCAGGATCAAAATAGATATAGTCTTCACTCAGCAAGCCTTCGAAATCTTCCTCGTGCAACTTGTGCACATCAGGCCGGTACAAATCAGTGGAGCCATCAATACCCCAAAAATAACCTCCAGATGGTGGATGCAGAATCTTGCTTAATCCTTTCTCACAAATGGAGCAACGACCTGATCTCAAATCCCCCACAAAAAGGAAAGAAAGAAAAGACATGAGAAATTGAGTCTGCCAATGTGAAAGAAAGAAAAGCCAGCCGGGGTCCAACACCTCCATGATAGAACTAGCTTCCAAAAACTTATGATTCTCTCCCTTATCTCCCTACCCTTCTCCCTCTTCATGCGGCGTAGGCGATGCTTGATCGGCTTTATGCTATATAAGATGTTCATGTAGTGGTTGAGAAATTCCACTGGCGTTGGGGTTCGACATCTTCGGCTTGAGATAGGTATATGGCATGTTCGCTGGTTGGTTTCTGAGCTGATAAGCCCGGCTGGTGTTGTTTTGTTGTGAGAGAAAAACACTGTTGACTAGCTGAAACCAACAAGCGAACATACTGATAGTTAGGGATGACCATGAACTTCGCGCGACATGGGCCCTTGTGTGTACTAAACATTAACATAATTCTGGACAAGAGCAAGAGGAAGCGCTTCCTTTAGCTTGTCACTCGCTTGGTTGATTTTTCATTAAGCATGTGTTTGAGTGTTTTTTATCAACACGACTAGGACATATTTAAGGGATGTGCTAAATTTCAAGTGCGTGAATTTTAATTTTCTTCCAAACGACGATTATTGCATATAATTTATATTAAAATTACAGTTTTAGTTTGTTGCGATTTCTATAGACATAATCTGCAATTTTTGTTCGAGAATAAAAAAAACCGTTAGACAAAACCACAAACTCACAAAATTTCTCGGGTGTGTTCGGCTGATCCAGTGCGCAGTAGATTTCAGCTGATTTCGGATGATTCAATAGTGTTATGTGAGAGAGAATAAGCTGAAACAAGCTGGAACTTGACCAGCCGAACACGCCGTGAGTTTGTGGTTTTGTCTAACGGTTTTTTTATTCTCGGAACAAAAAATTGCAGGATTACGTCTATAGAAATCGCAACAAACTAAAACTGCAATTTAACAATTCATAATTATTTCTATAGTTAGATAAGAACAAAAAATTGATATGTCATGGCACAAAGATAAATAACAAATTATAAAAGTGACAACTTATACTAATTAATAGTACAAGAGTGTTGTCTGAAATCATCTTAAAATTCAGAGACCTAAAATATAGGAGAAGTGTATATTTAATTGCTCAAATGAAGATGCATATATTGTTTGATAAGAGTATTTCATTTGCAGGTGACCGGGCTCATCACCCACCGTCAATCAAGTCCGTGGCAAAACAAGTCACTTGTGTCCAGCTCGATCCGATTGCTTTAAACTTTTCACTGTTCTGGTGTGCGGTGGCTAAGTTCATCACCTTACGATTGATCACGCGTTTGGACGTATTATGAAGAGGTAGACATAATTTTCTCTTATCACAATGCACGAACAATTTTGCTAATCTAAAAAGGAAGAACATTAACGTGGCACTCCCACATGCCACGCCGCGTGACAGCAATGGCAGATCGATAGAGCATACTAGGACAATACCCGGAGGGTTGCGGCAGAAATTCTAGATAATTTTAAAAGAAATTAGACTATTTATATTTATATTTATATTAATAAAATTATTTTAAATTAATTTTGGTAAATGGTTTGACATATCGATGTGGACAACTAAATATATGTTAGTGGATGAAGAGATAACTATCATAATTACATATGCTAGTTGGCTATAATTGTAAGTTCTAGTAGATTATTGATGTGCATAGCTTGCATATTGAGAGAAATCTCTAGTGGAGAACTTTATAAAAGTACTAGGTTCGTGTCCGTACGTTACTACGGGATAACTAAATTTTTATACTAAAAACACACGGATCGCACGATAAGATAACAATACGATGAAATTAAATATAGACGATAAAGTGACATTTAATCAAAAACCAAATTAAGTTCGTGAAATTAATACAGTTACGGAGAACGTGGCGTTGCATGCTCACAAACTCTAATGTATAGACCTTTCCTTTCCGTGATGTGGCTTATCAGCCATGGCACATAAAACAACATCAGCCGACTTATCAGCCGCAGAAACCATCAGCCGAATAGCCCGAATGTTTTATATCGGCAGAAAGAAATCTTCGATATCCATTTCTTTCGTGCGCCAATAAATCCACAAATAAGTCCCGCCATATCTCCATACCATATTGTACACCGGTTCGAGTATACATGTAATTATTAGTGCATGTCACATAACTAATACTGCATGTCTTGAAAAATCTCACAAAACCAAGCAACAAACGTTGCGAGCAGCAGTACACTTGCTGATGGAGGGAAGTCTATGCACGCGTTGATACTGGTGACGAGGGAGGGTAAAGGTTTATTATGTAGCAAAGAATCCGATGGGTTTCATAGGTGGCACCATTATATGCAATGGGGAGCCCTTTGCGCGACGACGATTGGGCAATTATACTTCCCTCCATCAGCAACTGTGACGAGGGAGGGCGAGACTAACGGGCATAATAAACCTTCGCCACCCACGATCACAGTTAGTCTCGAACGGGCGATGGTGCAATTATAATCTAACAAATAATGAAAACGTTAGCCTATGATTGAGCACGATTGGTTTTGGTTTCTATGTATGTATCTCTTGATTAAGATTATGATTTGTGAACACCTGTTTTTTTAAAACAAACTGCTATCATGCGCCCTCATATATGTTTTGTATTTCACCATTTATTTTTATAAATGGAAACATATACGTAATGTATTTCAATATTTATTTTTATAGTAGTATGCTCTTGCTAACGCTACAGTAACTTTACAGTTGTGCTAACGCGGTGGGGAAGATACAATATAAGGGACAAGCATAAGAAACTAAAGATAAGACAACTGTTTTTTTCAAAATAGACATGATTGGGTGTAATTTTTTTAGATAAAAGGCTCTCCCGCTTTATTATTGCCATAAATACCTCCAACTTCTCATAATCCTGGCGACCTAAAGTATCACCTTTTTGCTATTGTTTCAACAGGATTGTACAAACTACGCACAAAGGCATTTCTCATGCAATAGTCCTCTCCTTCATGATCTGCAATGTAAATTCGTGAACTACACATAACTAATTCCACATTGGAATATTTTTGCTTGCTATGCCAAAATGAATATTGTTTTCAGCCTTAAATTCAGAGTCTCTCCTAAAGTAATAAAAAGAAATTGGTTCAGAATGTACAAATGGATCAGGATCAATATACCTTCCTTGTTTGTCATTTTTTAGTAAATCAATATAAAGGACACGGTGATACCTACTTAACAGAATCAGACATGAATTAATTATTATGTTATATTTAAACTATATGCTATAACATTTAAAATATTTACCTCCCTGGCACTCATTGAACATTAAAAAGAATATTTTTAAAGAAACTACGTTACATCCTATAGTATTTAAAATAGAAGTGCCTACCTCACTTTCAGTTGAAGTTTCCTCATTCTTATACGATACTGAATCATTTTTGTCAGCCGTTGTTTGATCTTGTGCACAATAACTTAGGCCAAAATTCCTTCATGACAAAAAGCCAAGAAATTAGCAGAGGACAAAATATTTATAGAAGGTTCTAAATTTTCAGAATGTGGTGAGAAATAAAGAGCATACTTTCTTGCTTTCCGCTTCATTTCAGTTAGTGGCACTCAAAATAAACAAACATGCCAAACATCTCAAGTAGATAATACTGCAGATAAGCACATGCACAACTGAGTTCAAATGGAAGTAAAAATTCCTGAGTGTCAGTTCAAACAGTAAAGCAGTGCACCAATTAGCAGATCGTAGATGGAATCACTCTTGCCATCCACAAATATATTAATTGGTTAATCAAGTATTATATATGTCAGTGTAGTATTTATACCACTTAGTTAACAAATTTGACATCATCAATAGAGGAGTAGTCCTTGCCTGATGTGGCTGATTTGCATCTGCCTGTTGGAGGCTATGACATCTTCCCTTGGTGACTTTGCACTGGTGGTTCCGTGCAGTAGTGCAACCATCGCCGCACACAGTCAGTAGGCTACCGGAGAACTAAATCTCCCGATTGCAACCTTAGGTAAAGGGGTGAAGCAGGTGGTTGCTGCTGCCTGCAGTCATTGCGCCCGTGCACACAGCCACAGTAAAAAATTCAGAGTTGAACAATTTCAGAGGTGAACAGTGAGCCAGTTTAGATGTGAATATACTTGGTCAGCCTGATATCAATTCAGTAAACAATCTCTACATCTTGGGGGAGGAGGTCAATTTCAGAGGTGAACACTATTTTCAAAAGATCGCCAAAACCAGCATCACTGCAGGATTATTATTAGTAAATACCAAACAAAAAGAGGACCTAAGAGCGATCAGCAACACGATATAACATCTTTGTGATATTAATACTGACAAAAAAAACAAAGGCATCGCCAGCTCACCAGTTTGCTTCAAATCGACACCACCCAAATTCTGCAAACACCACAAGCCGCAGAAAACGGTGCGCAAAGCCGGGCACACCACACGTAGGCAGGCCCCGGCTCGCACACACGCATAGAGAGATCGATCCACCATGCCACAAACAGGAAATTAAGGCAACCAACCAAGCTAAGGGTACACTGACTTGAGTCTATTTTGGTATGCCCAAGGCAAGAAGTAAATAGCTAAGGTGCTCTTAGCCAAAGAAAGGTAAAACAAAGAGTAAAAATAAGAAACAACACTATCCAGGAAGTAAGGTAGAACATACAGGCAAAGATCAAGATCCTCAATATGGATCAAAGCACCATTCGAAGCCATCAGTGACTTGCCAGGAGGAACCATCCGCTGATTTGCAAAAAAAATACAGCACAATGATGTTCCAACGATCAATGGCTTCTGCTCTGTACCTAATAAACCCCACCTGGCCATCTGCTCCTTAGCTCCCGATAATCTAGCCTCCCAAGACAGCAGCGCCCCCCCTCAACTCATGCCGGAGATGCATTAGCAGTGCAGCCGTGACAACACGTGAAGGCTCATGGCGAGGTTGACCTCTGTTTCTCATTGAAGATTTGTCAATCATCCTCTGAATCATTAATAAGGGATGGTCTTACTATATAGAGGCTGCTTTTCTCTATCTATTTTTTATATCAAATGCATTACTTTATCGTTAAAGACATCATTCATCTTTCTGTCTCCCATCCCATTAGTGCTGTAGATATAACAACAGCTTATAGCTTCAGTAAGACTGAAAATAGCAGGTCAAATTGCCAAGTCCTTAGTTCATGTACTTTGTTGTTTGCTCCCTCCTACACATGCACACCGTACATAGTCTAAGGAACAGAACAAATCTGCTACTCTGCTTCTTGTTTAAAAATGCCCATACAATTATTTTCTCGAACACGTAAAATGCTCATACAGTTCTCACTCATATGCTAAAAACAGAAACGTGGCTTGATCACAGTTAAAACTACACTTGCATATCCTGCTTCAAGCACAATAATTTTATGTGTTAGTATTGGGGCTCATGTAATAAAAGCCAAGTTACCCACATCGTCATTCCTTTTCGCGGGCACCTCTTGCTCGTTGTCCCTCGCCTCAGCTTTGGTCGCCTTCTCATGCTCCTTATCCTCAGTAGTATATATAGTGCAAAACAAGAGAGGGAAGTCTTCTCAAAATCAAGAAACTGGAAAGTTCAGAGTGACGTTTCAATGAAATGAAGGTTTCTCACCTCGAAGCAGACATGGCAGTTGGGATGCATTGCTCTTTTGACACAGCAGTGGGAATCCTTCATGACATTGTTGTAGCAACACCCTGTTGGATGGCAACAAGGGCACCAGGGGTGCAAATAAAATCTTTGTTGCACAACATGCAATGGAATATTAGCAGAAAGAAGTTTGTGCAGAAACTTACCACATTTATCACAGTGAAACAAGTTTATTACAGTGAAAAAAGTTATCTGCACCACCAGTTCTGAACAATTAGCAAAAGTTAGACTTTTGAGTGGTAAGTGGAAGACTGCCTGTCAGTATGGTAGTTACCTGCATATGGCACATCCATCATAATGGTATTGGTCATTTGAGACCTGGAACAGAACAGTGTTAGATTAGGAATCACAGTGTTAGACTACCTGTTAAAACCAGGCATACACGCATACTGCCCCCAAAAAACATATACTCCAATATTTCTTTAACATATCAACATAGCAACTCATCCATATTTTCTAGAGAATTCTTCGTTATCTAGAAAAGGTAGGAATATTTAGGTAGCCATTATATGCCAATAGGAAGAAGAATCAGGCATATATACTGTACTCTCAAAAGAAAAGAATAAAATGTGATTGCTTTAGCCGATTGACATCTCAAATTCACTGCTAGTCTGCTACTATGTCCAGGTGCACCTGTTGGGGCACATCACTTGATCTAGATAGCAAACACGACACTAATCATATCTAATTCCAGGTCCAGGTCATCAATTATGCAGCAGTCAGATCTTGTTCAATTAGATGTAAAATGGAGAGCGATAGGGGGAGATGAACCGAACAAAGACTACGCACCTTGGCATCGTTGTGGCATTGGCGGCAGCAGGGCGCCATGACGCTGCATCCTTCTGTAATGCGCACACCTTTTGTCAAGGCAGACGCAAGAGACGTACGGCGTTGGCCACGGCACACGATGGCGAGGACAGCGGGCCGCTCGACGGCGAGGACCACCTGAGTTTCCGGCGTCGTGGAGGGGGTGGCGTGTCCGGCGGCCGCACGTCCAGCCGCCTCGACGACAGGGCAGATCGTGGAGGCAGCGGCGTGTCCAGTGGCGTCGAGACGGCGGCGCGGCGGCGTCGAGGCGTCTGCCGGCAGCAGGCGCTGCTTCGCAGCGGGGAGGGAAAGGAGTCGTCGACGCCCGTAGATCGGGGCGGGGCGCGGACGCGGATTGGGGCGGAGCGAGAACGACGGCGCGGGTCCTTCTCCTTCTCGGCGAGGCGGCGGAACGGTCTTCTCGGCGATCCGTCGGCCGCGAATCGGGGATTGACGAGCGCGGGCGAGGACGACGGCGCTGGCGCGAACGGCGAGCTCGACGGTGCGAGTGCGACGAGCGGCTTCGTGGCAGGGAGAGAGGCGTGGGCGAGCGTCGGCGTCAGCGTCAGCGAGTGGAAGGCAGCGTGGGAAAGGAGGTGGTGGCGTGGGCATGCGTGTGACGGAGCGTGATTGAAGCAGGATCGTGGGAGGGGATGGAGCGTGATTGGGAGATGGATCGCATGATCGGTGGGCAGGCGCGGGCGCAGAGGGCGGCGGCGGCGGCGCGCGCAGCTGAATTTTGTCGCAAAGGAAGGGGAAGGAGCGAGGGAGGGGTGCGGGATCGACTTTCCTTCCTTTTTAATTTGTCGCAAAAAAGGAGGAAGGAGTGAGGGGTGCCGTACGCGCAAATCGTATGGGTGATGCAAGGGGAAGCGAGAGTGTGCGGGATCGCAGCAGATAGAGTCCACGTTACGTTGGAACGTCGCACTAAAAAATATCCAATCGATGTCCGTCGACCGCTGAGAAATCAAAACCTAAAATAAGCTCGGAGCCCGTGAACACAACAAAACGTTTAGAGGCCGAAATGAACCATCCCCAAAGAGGGGCATCGGCCCGGCCCATCGCACTGGTTCTGTGCATGCTGCGCTGGCTCAGCTGTTGGTGCATGCACTGCAGCGGCACAGGCACAGCAGGACTGGAGCGCGGCGTCCCTTGTCCCTGCCGGCCGTGTGCTGTCAACTGGCACGCCCGTGAGCATAAAAAAGGCCCCGTCCGCTCACGGGACGAATACGACCAAACGCGCGCCCGCCACGCCCCCATCTTCACTCACCTCCCCCGCTTCTGTCCACATCCCCTGTAAATCAGCGCCAGCCAGCCACAGCCGCAAGCCCGCACCGCGATTGCAGTTGAGACCAGTTCGCCGCCCCTACCCTAGATAATCTCGTCTCGCCAGGGACGGCAGGCCGTGCCGTCACAAGACTCCTCGCCACTCGCCGGCCGGGTCGTCAAGGAGAGACCGAGAGAGTGCGTTCGCGCGCGGTGGGATCAGAGAGATTTCGTTCTAGAGGTCCAGTGAGGATGGAGCTCGGCAGTTCCTGGCGGCTCACGGTGGTCGTCGGCATCCTTGCCTGCGCGGCCCTCTTCTCGCCGCCCGCCGCCGCGCTCAACATCGGCATCCAGTCCGCCGGCGACGGCGCGGTACGTACACAGGCTAAACTATATATGCTTGGAGTAGCTTTCAGCCTTTCATCATGCTCATACACACACGTACGCAGCACGTCGTTGCCCACTAATCTAGCTCCACACCCCTGTTAACTGCGCTTTTTGCTTGATTCGTGCGCAGAGCAAGCAGCAGGCGTGCAGCCGCACGTGCGAGTCGGACCACTGCACGAGTACGTACAATTAACCCATCTCTTCCATGATCTGCACGGTTTATTTCCTCTTAATTGCATCGATCGCTCACTTATTAAGCGCCCGACATGATCTTCTGCCACTCGATCAACAGCGGCGCCGTTCCTGCGGTACGGCAAGTACTGCGGCATCCTGTACAGCGGCTGCCCCGGCGAGCAGCCGTGCGACGCGCTGGACGCCTGCTGCATGCACCACGACAACTGCGTCCAGGCAAAGAGTACGTTAATTATATACACAAGCTCGCTCCAGTCATCATGCATCTTCAATTGCTACCACGAACGTGGGCTGATGACGACACGGCGGCTGCGCGCGTGTTGTAAACCGTATGCAGTGGACTACCTGAGCACGTCTTGCAACGAGGCGCTGCTGGACTGCCTGGCGAGGCTGCGGGAGGGCACGTCCTCCTTCGACGGGAACAAGTGCATGATCGACGAGGTCATCGACGTGATCACGGTCGTCATAGAGGCCGCCGTCGTCGCCGGCAGGGTGCTGCACAAGCCGTAGCCACCGCACGCGGCGGGCGTGGTGGGCGCGCGCAGGGACATGTAAACAGCAGCCTGCGGTTGGTGGGTGATACATCTTTTTCGTGCTTGGTTTAGGGTGGTGGCGTCCTGGACGGCTGGTCGGGGCCCGGGCTGCGTCGGCGGCTCACATGGCGGCTTGTGTGCGTGCTACTAGCTGGCCAGCAGCTCCCACAGGCTCTCAGCCCGGCCTAAACTGACGACAAGATATATGTATGGAGATTATTAAAGAAAGCTTGTTTGGTTTTGAGCATCTCGTGTCCCTATCACACTGTATTACCTACCGTATAAGTATAAAGAAAGTTTCCTCATGCTGGTTTTGGTTTCTTGGACAATCTACACTCTACACACGTGTGTAGCTTGCGTTGATGCAAATGACGAATAATACAGAGTGTGTCCTCAGCAGGATCATCATGTGATGGATGAACCTTGATTTAGGATCTTGTACGTGCTGCTGCCGGAACGATTTCGTGATCGCGCGATTTGTTTGTTCCTGAGACTCGGAGGGCATCTGCGCCCACTGATCGTCTGGCCTCGACGTTCCAGTGATGCTATCTCGTTGTCCATAGTCCACACATTGCTGTCAAGTCCATCCTTACATTGGAAGTAGTAGCGCGTAGCGTCCGTCATACGGTCATGCCCTCGTAAGCTCAGCAGACAGCAGTCAGGAATGACCAAAACTACAAATGTGATGCAATGCCAAAGAACAGAATGAAGAGCAGAGCGCGCAGCAGCTGCACGCCAGCACCAAAGAGCAGGGCAGCATTGCATGATCGAATGGAAAGTAAGCTTGGCTCTTCTTCATTTAGTACCAATAACTGGAGATTTAATTGGATGCATAAGAAAACATAATATGTCAATGACGGCGCCACAGAAGCAAGAGTATTTACAATTTAAATGTGTACACAGGTGAAACGGAAACAGCATGGCCCAGCTTGATTCCCCCATTTTATTTTATTGTGCAAAGAAGCGATCCACAAATCACTTGCTGGGAATCTCTGTTGTTTTACTGCACTACTGATAACTGGTTGGCTGGTTTTACTAAGACACATAAAGCGGTTCAGGGGCCGTTTTCCTCTGTATCCTGATATAACAAAAGAAGTTGTTAGAAAAACGAAGGAAATGTAAAAACCAATGTCAACACTCAATATGCATCAGTGGCGAAGAAAGAGCAGATTGGACGGAGGTGCACTTGCCTTTGGGTTAATAGACTTGTCTATAAGGATGGGTCCATAGACTTATGGGTCCATTTACAATGCACATATATAGTGGAATACTGGAATTTTAATCACAATCACTATTTATATAATCTTGAGCCCCCTTATGTGCATCATTACCATGGGCATGAGGCGTACATGTTCAGCAATGCATACAAACTAGTAGTTGCCTCGTTTCATAATCAAAGATGGGTGTATCTATATTGCTGAAACATTAGCCTAATTCTCCCATGTTCTACTGTTACCACTATTATCAACTCACTGAAGAACAACATTGTCAACTGAAACATCATACTATCAGAAGTGTGTCTAGATCAACACCTTAATAAGTTGCAGAGCAAACCTAATAAGCGAACGGCAAGTTTATGCACAAAAATGTGTTGTTTTGTTTGTCAATGTGAGTTACCAAGCACTAATATGTTTTGGTTTAGTGAAAAGTGCAAACTATCGTATGAACCTACCAATGAGATAATTAAGCAGTTGTCACAAGCTTGATTTCAGAAGGGAAACAGTGCTAGCCACATCCCATTCAAGATTGAAGACAGAATTTATAAGGATTTCTAGTCAATTGTGCCAAGACCTTCAAGACGTGAAGGAAAATCAAAACAGTATTATAAAAGAAGAATTCTTCAATAGTGCCATTATGAACTAACCAGTTGTCTTTGGACCATTCACATCCTTCAGTATCAACTACATGTAAGCTCAATGCATGTCTTGATGCTGGAGAAAGGTTCTCAAAACTGCACACAAAAAGCCATAACACTATTAACTTGAAACAGTACAACACAAGTAGGAAGCATTAGTAATATAAAGGAGAATTCCACCTCTGATGTATAAGATCTCCTTGTATAACTACCAAATCACCAGATTTTACTTCCAGCGGCACAAATTCTTTCTGATCATAGACTGGGGAGGGCCGATCAAAATGTGTACCATTTTCATCTCTGATCATACGCCTCACCAAACCCTCTAATACAAAACATAAAAGTTAAAAGAAAACTTAGATATTCCTGCCTTTCAAGACGTTCTTTGGCATAAAGTAATTGTGTGAAAGAAATACTTTTATGTGATCCTGGAATTGCCCACAGGCAACCATTGTTGATTGTTGCATCTTCAAGTGCAAGCCACAACCCTGTGCATGTTCGAGGTTCCGTGTAAAGGAATGTATTATCCTGGTGCGGCACCACCTCACCACCAATACCTGGTTGCTATAAAAAAACAGTAAGAAATTACGAAATAACATACAATGTCAGTAGAAAGTAAAGGCTAAAAAATCTACCTTAAAGATGTACATCGATTGAATGACTGCAGGCCTCTTGTAGCCTAAAGAAGAGAACAAGCTTGCAACACTCTCCGAGAAAGAAAACTTTTTGAACACGGGATCAAGTTCATGTAATGCTGCATATCAGGAAAGATGGTGAAGGTAAGATATCTCAAGACCTGTTGTTCAGGACTGCAGGCCATGCTGGATGCCACTTTTTCTTGAATGTCTTACATAATACATTCACAACATGGAAGATAATATACACTGTAAGGCAGAAGCAACCAAACGGGGAGGTTTATCAAAAAATGATGGGGATTATAATATAACAACACTTTACATAACAAATTGAAGCACATAAATATTTAAGATAGCTAGATTACACAAACTACAAACATCTATAACAAAGATAAGTCAGTGGTGCATTTAGAATACACATAACATAATTGGATTAACCGCAACAATTGTTCTTATTTTTAAGATTATTACCACCAGAAACTCTGAAAGTCATTTAAAAGTGGAATCTCTTTAGAAGCTATAGTTTATCATCTTTGGTAAAGTCACAGAGGTATAATAACATACTATTAGTACAATACTACAATTACAGAAGGTGACGATAAATTTATTGTATTTTGTTAAACAGGGTGTTTCCACCACTATTTCCTATTTACTGGCCAAATTAAAGTATGCACATAAGAGGGGAGGGGCCAAGGGGGGCACAATATTGAAAAAAATGATCGAGCCCATCATATGAAAGAAAAC